TAACGCCTCCTAATACCGTCCTCCCTCTCCCAAGTCGCCTCAGTCTCATCGTGTCGGTTCCACAGCACCTTCACCAAGCTCACTGCCCGGTTCCTTAGTTGATGGACCTTCCGGTCTAGGATAGCTACCGGCACCTCCTCATAGGTAAGGTCTCGCTCGACCTGCAGCTCGCCGAAGTCCACCACATGATCGGGATCATGCACATACCTCCGAAGCATGGAGACATGGAACACGTCGTGCACACCCGACTAGTCTGGTGGTAAAGCCAGCCGATACGCTAAGTTCCCGACTCGATCGAGGATCTCGAACGGCCTAATATAGCGAGGTTTAAGTTTCCCCTTCTTCCCGAAGCAAATCACACCTCTCATGGGTGAAACCTTCAAGAAGGCATGATCTCACACTGCATAAACATGCTCTTGCCTCTCCCGGTCGGCATAAACCTTCTGCCTCTCTTGGGCAGACCTGATAGTCCTCCTGATCTCCTCAACTGTCGCTGCAGTACTCTGGACAAAATCCGGACCCGTGATCCTCCTCTCTCCAACCTCATCCCAATATAAAGAAGTTCGGACCTTACGTCCGTACAAAGCCTCGTACGGGACCATCTTGATCGAAGAGTGGTAACTGTTGTTACAGGTCAGCTCGACTAGCGGAAGGGCATACTCCCAATTCAGGCTTCGGTCCAAGACCACAACCCTCAATATATCCTCCAAGTACTGGATCGTACGCTTCGACTGACCATCTATGTGGGGGTGAAAGGCTGTACTGAACTCCAACCTCGTCCCCATGGCTCGGTGCAACGTCCTCCAGAACTGGGATGTGAACTTGTCATCTCGATCCAAAACAATCTCCACGGGCACTCCATGAAGCTTAACAATGACCTTGACGAACAATTCGGCGTAATCACTCGCCTTCATGGTCGTCCGGACTGGAAGAAAATGGGCAGACTTCGTAAGGCGATCCACTATCACCCAAATCGAATCATACCCGCCACTCGACTTCGGCAGTCCCACTAAGAAATCCATGGTGATGCACTCCCACTTCCACAGGGGAACCTCAAGGGGCTGCAACAACCCTCTCGGTTTCTGGCGCTCAGCCTTCACTTGCTGACACACCAGGCACCCATCCATGAACTTCGTTACCTGCCTCTTCATGCCTCGCCACCAGAAGACTTCCTCAGGTCCTGATACATCTTCGTGCTACCAGGATGGATGGTGTACGGGGCACTATGGGCCTCTCTGAAAATCTCCCTTCGCAGCTCCCACACCTTCGGGACACAAAGTCTACCCTCGAAGACCAAGGCCCCATCAGATGCGACTGCGAATCCACCAATTCTACCGGCTTCCGACAACTCTCTCATCCGACATAGGAAACGGTCATTCGGTTGCTCGACGATTATCCTCTCTCGAAGAGTCGGTCCCACAACCAAAGAGGCCAACACGCCCCCGGCTATCGAGGTCGACTCCACTGCCTCTAACTGTAATCGCTCGAACTCCC